GGAATTTACTCTCTGCCTCCTTGGAGAACCACCCTTAATTTTGCCAGTTATCGGTTATCAGCCTTCCCAATCAGACGATAATGCCAGTCCAAGTACTGTGTGCTTATAAAATACTCTCCATGCTTGAGTGCTGGCAGAGGAATTAAAGTCGTTTATACAATTAAAGTTCCCAGCTCTGTTTACTTGTCCTCTCCTCTAGTCCTTTCAAAAGCCACACACACCTTTTAATGGCATTTTCAGTCTGCAATTTTTCTGTATAACGCTGAGAAGCCTTGATAAAGACCCCAAATAGTGAATCCTTTGACCATTTCTTCTTTCCCATCTTTCATATTATTTTCTGCCAAAGTCAACGCCGTTTTCCAAAGCGCATTTAGAAGGAACCATCATCACAGGAACAAGGCTTGGACAAGCCAAAATATCTGATTCTCTAAAGTCACGTCAAGTAATAAGAGAAGAGGCCACAAGCAAAGGCGGCTGAGCGGTGGGAGTTTTCTGAGCGGATGTAGATATAAAACATGGTGAACTCTGAGTGGTGATTTTTGTCAATTTAGTGACATCAGTTCTACTTGAAATTACTTGAAAAAAAAAAAAGCTAAGCTGACTTCTCTGCGGTTTTTAAATGCTCATTTAAAACATATAATAAAAAATCTTGTAGCCAAAAGAGAGAACCAGGCGGTCAAAGATTATGTGAGCGCTGGAATGCTGTTAGGTCATGTCTACACTGCGGAGCTATTTCAGGATACCGGAAGTATCCTGAAATAGCTATGCTGCATCTATTGAAGCAGCCTGTTATTCTGAAATAGAGTTTGAAATAACGGGGGGAGAGGGGGGCTTAGCCTGATGTTCCGGTCACCCTCATTCCACGAGGCGCGAGGGGCATTTTGGAATAGCGAGTTATTTCAAAATTTGGCACGGCGTAGACTGCGCCAAGTGACAAAATCGGCTATTTCAAAAGAGCATCGAAATAAATGCTACAATTTGCGTCGCTTAGTTGGAGCGAAGGGTGCTGCGTAGACACACCCTTAGAGATTTCTGATGTACACCCTCCACTCCCCACGCCCCCAATACAATATTAGAAACAAATGCTCACGTACGAGCAGGAGAAAAGGAGTGAGAGGGAGGCCCCCGCAAATTCTAGGTACCTAAGCGCAGTTAGCTAGTTACCCCCGTCCTGGGAAAGCGTCCTGGGTACGACACCAGTGGGCCTGGGAGGTTGTTACTTGCGCTGGTAATTTAATTTGAGTGTGATGTAACGTAACTTTTCTTGAACTATTTGAAGTTGATGACATTTCTATGAATATACAAATGATTAAGCGTTTCTGTGACTGGTTATGACATAGTCTGCGTGTATTCAATGTGCACGTGGCCAATTTCAACCCTGCTGCCCACTGAGATGAAGGCGGCCGCTCACACGGCCCGCTCACAAGCCTACTTGCCCTTCACTGACCCCATCTGCTGGTCTGTCTACAGCGCGATGGCAGCAGTGCGACGGCAGTGTGTCTACAGTGTGTCTGTCTGTCTGCAGTGCGACGGCAGTGTGTCTACAGTGTGTGTGTCTGCCTGTCTGCAGTGCCACGGCAGTGTGTTTGTCTGTCTGCAGTGCCACGGTAGTGTGTCTGCCTGCAGTACAACAGCAGTGTGTCTCTCTGCAGTGCCACGATAGTGTGTCTGTCTGTCTGTCTGCAGTGTGTCTACAGTGTGTCTGTCTGCAGTGCCACTATAGTGTGTCTGCCTGTCTGCAGTGCCACAGCAGTGTGTCTACAGACTGTCTGTCTACAGTGCGATGGCAGTGAGTCTACAGTATGACTGTCTGCAGTGCGATGGCAGCGTGTCTGTCTATCTGCAGTGCCATGGTAGCATGTCTGTCTGCAATGCCACAGCAGTGTGTCTGTCTGTCTGCAATGCCACGGCTGTGTGTTTGTCTGCAGTGTGACGGCAGTGTGTCTACAGTATGTCTGTCTGCAGTACCACGGTAGTGTGTCTGTCTGCAGTGCGAAGGCAGTGTGCCTGTCTGTCTGCAGTGCGATGGCAGTGTGTCTACAGTGTGTCTGTCTGTCTGCAGTGCGACGCAGTGTGTCTGTCTGTCTGCAGTGTGTCTACAGTGTGTCTGTCTGTCTGCAGTGCGA